TGAAAGTAGGCTGTGCAGCCAGGGGTCAGGGCGTCTGGCCAGGGAGTAAGGCACAGGAGTGGGCTGGAGGCAGGCTATTGGCCAGGAGGCAGGATGTCTGGACGGGGGAAGAGGGCAGGCAGGCTGTGTGGCCAGGGAGCAGAGTGTCTGGCCAAGGGGGAGGGAGCAGAAATGGGATGGGGACAGGCTGTCTGGCAGGTGAGTGAGGGGGTAGGAGTGAGGGGGGTGTGGGCATGAGGGGTGGGAAGGCACTTGTTTTCACATTGAGTTGCAGGCACCATGTAACATGGCCTCTCGCTGCTCCCATTCAGCGGAAGCCCCCAGGAAGTGTGTCCCAGGGGAAGGAAAATTGCAGCGTGCACAGAGCCATTTTTGGTTTCATGTTGCTTGTTTCCCGTACACCGGGGGAAGGAAAAGGGCAGCTTGCACAGAGCCATTTTTGGCTCTGCTTGTTCTCCACATGCCAGATCTGGTGGGGAGGCTCAGAGCTTTCTCTCCCTCTGACCGCAGGAAGCTGGTGCTGGTGTTCCAATTTTGCAAGAGGCTGTAAGGCTGTAGTACCAGTGCTGGTTCCCTACTGAGGGAGGAACGGGGAGGGGCTGAGTTGGGGCTTCAGAAGAGCCATAGCTGGCTCCCTAGTGAGCCATATTTGTTTTGCAAGCCATAGGTTGCCTACCCCTGCTCTGACACCAGAGTCACATTTCCGATGGGGAGTGTTTGAAAGCCAGATCTGTATGGTGGGGAGACTGGAAAAGAAAAAAACTGTGTTTTGCCAGTGATAAATGCTGGAGGAAGCCATGCCAATGAAATGAAGAAGGCCAAAATTTCATCCTTTGTATCTACTTTTATTACTGCCAATAATCTCCTTTAATTATAGTCCATTTAGGGCTACGATAAATTATTTTTCCACTTAATTTTGTGCCTTTGACATCACTGTACCTAGCCAGCTAGGCTGTTGTGTCTGAACATTCAACATGAAGGAGAAAATGAAACACCATAACCCTAAGGCAAGAGAGTGCATTGAGCCTTTGGGGTCAGGCTCAAAAGTAGGCCCGTTATAAGCATCGCCAGAGACATTAATACCTTTATAACAGAATCTTTTAAATTAAGACTTGTTTTTTTTAGGGTTTGTATCAGAAAATTCTCAAACTGTCTAGGTGCCCAAGTCCCATTAGTTGACTCTGCAGAAGCCTCTCTCCTTGCTAAGCCACTTCTCAAATGCAAATAGGATTGGGATCCAGTATGTCAATAGGAAAACATGTTCTGACTGCAGAGATGCTTAAGCATGACCCATGGAAAGCAAATTTACAAAGACTGACTTGTGCCCCAGCAACAAGGTCTACACTGAAGATACCAGTGATGCTGAAAATCAGGGTCTGTTGATGCAAAAACACTTGGTACCACAAAGGGAACTGACCTCACTTTGCTTCTTAGAAGAAGCCACAATGGCAACTGAGTGCTCAGTAATTGGGGAAAGAGGAATGGAGAGGTAGACTAGGTCTGATTCTGCCTGCCATATTGATGGGGTGCAATCAATCCTGTTGCTGCTGTTGTCAGTACCTGACCCAATGGATGCTCCATGGCCAGTATAGGAGGTACAGCACCCAACTGATATGTGTAGTAATGGTGAGATGACCCAGTTACATCCCACATTAACAAGGAATCACAGTACTGCTCAGAACTCCTCTTAGGAGACAGAGGAGACTCCCTCCAAGTTCTGGAATGGCTTCTGTTTTGCGAGACACTTTCCTTGAAGGACCAGAGGAAGGAGAATGATCCCTCGTTCCCTTAGGGAAAATATCAGACCTTGTACCTGGACCAACATCTCAGTTTGGCTCCAAAAGGCTGTCTGGTACAGAACAAACTGCAGAGATCCCTGGGGCCAAAGCATGTCTCATGGCCTGCTCAAGGCACAAAAGTCTCCTGCCACCTGTGTTCTTTGAGCAATTTACAAATGGAGCCCCTTTCCTTAATATGCTCCTCCAGCAGGTCCAATAAACACTGGGTGAGGGGGACAAGGAGGAAGACACTTTTGGGGACAGCAATCCCATATGATGGAGAGCATTTAAATAAACATTTAAAATTACAAGTCTATCCCACCAGACTAAACCATACTTGACACTACCTAAGGATACTACTATCATAAACTAAAGCTACTATCTAATACAATTATAACATTTTGTAATGGAAAAACACAAGATACAAAGAACCACAGAGGGCTGGG